TTCTTGATCAAAGGTGAATAAAATATGAAATTTTGAACTTAAGCCCTTATTTTCCAAAATTAGAAACTTTTAGGGTTTCTTCAAGAACAAGTTTCAACCCAAATTTCAATCTCCTTGATCCAATGACCAAAATGGACTTGAAATATGAAAAGTGAATCCTTGAATTGATGGTTGACCAAAAGTTTACTTGGTCAACCTTGACTTTGACTGATTTTGACCAAAATGACCATTTTGCCCCTCTGAATCACTTGATCCACTTCCCTTCAAAATTGATGATCAAAACTTCAGACATATGATCTTCCAAATGTATAGAGGCCATGTACAAAGTTTCACTTCAAAATTCCCAAGAAAACTTGATGGAATACCAAACCCTAGTTTTGGTCAACACCTTAGGGGAGTGATGAATCATCTTCAAAACTTCAAATCCTCTGGGCATCATGACCAATTCCCTATACAAAGAATTTTCAAATACCAATGAGATCTTGTAGCTACCAAATCAAAATTTGTACATTGATCAAAAGCCCTGATCAAGCAAAACCCTAATTTGACTGGTGAATAAAAAGAGCAATTCCTCTTATAATCAAACACAAACTTCAATCCTCTGATGATCCAAAGAGATGGATGAAATATCTTGAGATATGCAATAACTTTTGAGCTTGAAAGATCCAGAGGTTTAGATGACAAGATTCTTCTTGAGCAACTTGTCAATGCAATCAACCTTCAAAGCTTGAGGAAGACTTGATAACCAAAGTACTTTGATCCCGTCACAATGTATGAATGCAATGCAATATGATATTCATGATGAAACATAAGCCTAAATCAAGAGGGTAAATTTTGGGGTGCAACACCCCTTACCCGTTATTGATCAAATGTTGGATAGATTGGCTGGAAAGAAGTATTATTGCTTCTTAGATGGATATTCGGGCTACAACTAAATAGTCGTTGCACCTGAAGACCAAGAGAAAACCACATTCACTTGTCCTTATGGTACCTTTGCTTTTAGAAGGATGCCCATTTGGACTGTGTGATGCTCTAGTCACTTTCCACAGATGCATGATGGCTATATATTTAGATATTATTGAGGATTCCATTGAAGTATTCATGGATGATTTATCTATTTTGGGGGAGTCATTCAAGAAGTGCTTAGGCAACCTGGATCTGGTATTAACAAGGTGTGAAGATAATGATCTTGTGTTGAATTAGGAGAAGTGTCATTTCATGGTGAAATAAGGGATTGTTCTTGGACACAAAATCTTAAAAGGGGCTTGGAAATGGATCAAGTCAAGATAAAAGTAATTTAAAAGTTCCCCCCTCCAGTGAAAATCAAAGGAATTAGAAGTTTTCTGGGGCATGCTGGTTTTTACAGAAGATTTATCAAAGACTTTTCAAAGATCACCAAGCCACTTTGTCAACTGCTGTAGCATGACGTGCCTTATGTCTTCAGTCAAGAATGTTTAAACGCCTTCAACTTATTGAAGAAATCTTTGGTTTTTGCACCAATTATGAAGGCCCTTGACTGGACACAACCATTTGAATTAATGTGTGATGGTGACTTTGCCATTGGGGCTGTTTTTGGTCAAAGACACAATAAGGTGTTCCACACCATTTACTATGCTAGTAGAACTCTAATTGAAGCACAAATGAACTGCACCACAATTGAAAAAGAGTTTCTAGATGTTGTCTTTTCTTTTGACAAGTTCAGATCTTATTTGGTAGGAACAAAGGTCATAGTATACATTGATCATGCTGCCATCAAGTACCTACTTGCTAAGAAGGATGCCAAGCCATGACTCATCAGGTAGGTGCTTTTGCTACAAGAGTTAGACCTGGAGATTAGAGACAAAAGAGGAGTTGAGAATTTGGTTACTGACCATTTGTCAAGACTACCAGAGGAAATCCAAGACAAAAGTGGTGAAGAAATTCAGGAGAATTTTCCTGATGAGAAGTTATTACTGATAACTGCAGGCGTGACTCCTTTGTATATTGACATTGTCAACTACCTAGTTAGTAGATTTGTTCCACATGAGTTCAATTCTCAACAAAGGAAAAATGTTCTTCCACATGACCAAAAGTTACTTTTGGGATGAACCTTTCCTTTAAAAATATGTTGATCAATTGTTAAGAAAATGTGTGGATCAACCAGAGGCATGACATATCTTGTATTCCTATCATGAAGCTCCTTATGAAGGACATTTTGGAGGAACCAAAACTGCTGCCAAAGTTTTGCAATCAGGTTATGTCTGACCCTCTCTTTTTAAAGATGTTCATGATCTGTTTAGGAAATGTGATAGGTGCCAAAGAGTGGGGAATATCTCTATGAGGAAAGAAATGCCTCTTACCAACATCTTAGAAATTTAAATTTTTGATGTATAGGGCATTGAATTCATGGGGCCATTTCCTCAATCTTTTGGCAACTTGTACATATTGATAGTTGTGGACTATGTTTTTAAATGGATAAAGACAGTAGCAACCCCAACTAATGATGCTAGGGTGGTGATCAAATTTTTGATGAAAAATATTTTGTCTAGACATAAAACCCCTAGAGTAATCATTAGTGATGGAGGAACCCATTTTTGCAATAAAATCTTTGAAAATTTGATGGCAAAGTATAGTGTGAACATAAGGTTTCTACAGCCTACTGAAACAACCGGATGAAAATCATCAAACAATGAAGTCGCCATTGAACGTCTTTTATCCCACATGAAGGGAAATGTGAACATCGAGAAAACCTGAGAAGGGAGAAGTCATGGTCTTGTGACCGATAGATCGAGTAAAGGAGTCTGTTACGCGAGGGAAAGGTATTAGCACCCCACACGCCCGTAATACTCTATGGTATCCACTCTTGTTATCTATCTTATGGGTGTGTCTGATCTATGCTTACTTTTTATTTCCGAGGAAGAATGCATGCAAAAGAAATGAGAAAATAATGTAGGAAAAATAAAGTTGTGCTCGCTTGGGCCCTACCCCAATGCCTACGTATCCTTTTTAAGGAATCTGAGTTACCGTAGTTCGTCTTACGTGTTTTATTTGTTTTGTGTTTTTTATGAACAATGTTAATTCCACCTTCTTCCGCAGCTCGACCTTTGGAGACTCACACGTTGGAATAGAAGTAAATTAATCACGTCCTTACCTTAAAATGTTTTTGAGTTACGCCCTCAAGGAAAGATGCCACATTTGATTGGTTTGTATTTTGTTACCTTGAAAAAGGGTTTAAGTGTGATTAACATGTTTTACAATTTTCTAAGGAAAGAAGAGTTTTAGTTTTAGATGCAAGGATGCAAAAGGGGAAGAAAAGAGTCTACGGGAGACTAGCCTATTTCTAATCCTAATGTTATCATACAATAGTGGTCCTAAGATTTGGATTAACAAAAGGGAAATGTATACCTAATGTTAGCATGTATGGTTTGCAACCTAAGGTCTAACTTGCATCTGAAAGGAACAAGCACATCCTAAGGGAACATGGCATAGACAGCAAGTGAGCAAACAAGTTCGAAAGAGCACCCATATAAAATGGTAAAAAAAAGAAGTGAAATGTTTTAGTTAAAGGGAGCGTATCACCTGAGACAAGAAAGCGGGAGTGAAATATAAAAGAAGAGAAATGCTTTAGCTAAGAGGAGCAGATCACCCAAAGAAAACAAGCGGGAATGAGATGTAAAACAAAAATGTGATGTCCAAAGCGAACGAACAACTAACCAAGATATAGAAGATCGAGATAGGCGACAAAAGGCAGTATGAACAATCACAGAGTGTCAGCATCGACCAACATGAACTCCTGACAAAGTATGTGCGTTTGATTACGAAACCCTTTTCCATTTGATGACTCAATAACAGGAGTATGCACAACTCTAAAGCATCGTGGTGCGTCACGAGCTAAGGATGACACAGACGAAACTGCGGGGGTTTATTGCTAACCCTTTCTGCTCACCTCCTTTTGAGGACTTCAATAAGGGATGGAGGAATAATGCGGGTACAAATGTAAACACACGTGCGGAATACCTACACAAATATAGAGTTTTAGACAAATCACACACAAGTAGCACACAATGGCAAACAATGTGGAATTGCCCTAAACGGGTCTTTAAATAAACCAAAGGGGTTCCTGACATGACCAGCAACAGAGACCCCCGTCATACATCTCTATCCTACTTCTCATGGAATTAGAAAACAGTAAAGTTCCTACTTCTCACGATCTCTAGAAAGTAGTAAAATAAATGAGATAAAGTGCGGAGATGAGGAATAAAATGCAGTTGCAACCTAACAGAGAAGGTCTGTTGCCTCTTCAAAACTATGCAAGCGATAAGAAAACTCTACAGAAGCTGCTTCGCACAAGTGATCAAATGACTTAATCTCCAAGCATTCTACATTGCGAAAGTTACATCAACATTCTATCACAAAATCTTAGCTAAAAAATGAAAACGAAAATGATTATCGAACATGAAAATAATAGAAAACTCTAATGAAAATTCTAAAGAGGTGTCCTAAAGAATTCTAAAGCGTTCTAATGTTTTTTTAAATCATTTTTATTATCAATTAAGAGAAAAATTAAACTAAAATAAAAAACTTAAATAATAAAAAGAAGTTAGAAGAGTCAGGGGGTGTTAACTGAAATCCAGGCACATAGTGAAGCAAAAGATTAGGGCAATAGGCCCATCAAATTGGTCCAGAAGCTGTTTTTGTTCTATTGTAATTCAAGCCTCCAAAAATCCCGTGGCATGGGCTTGGGTGGCTACAGTCCGATCCAATAAGCTATCCTAATCCAAAAAAAAACTATTGAATAATGACCAAAAATTAAACAAAAAATGATGTAAGGGAATGATGCATTAGGGTTGAGAACACGTGAGGATTCAACTTCGCGAAATCCTCTTCTCTTTCTTGAACGACATTGTCTATAGTTCTCTTCTCCGAAGAATTTCAACGATTCGTCACCGTCCACGCCTTTACTTCCGCTGTCTGATCTCACCATCTCGTTTCGATTCGTAGTGCCTCCGTCTCTTCACTTCATGAGCTCATCTTCCAAGACTCTCTCCGGCCACGAATATTCCATGATTTGCAACGACGTGACAATGAATACCGGAGAGGGTTTAGAGGTAAGCTCTCTACTTCCTTCTTCTTCTTCATATTTCCGATTCAATTCTTCCTCTACTCCATTTCTCTGCTATGCGCTGCTACTATGAGTCGCTATTGATGCGCGATAATGTTGTATTGATATCCAGAGAAGGATACGAAGGTGTGGTGTGGTTGATGAAATTACAAAGTCAATCAATTCAGTGATGTTCTTGAAGTCGATGCAGCGAGTTAAAGCTATCTGAAAATGATGAGCACGCAAAGAATTTACAGCTTTTGAAGATGCGGTGGAGATGATGAATGAATGTTCTGTGGTTCAGAGCTTGAGGCCAGTTGATGCAGAGTGATGATGTTGATCAAGATGGAGAAAGAGTGCAGAGAAATGAGAGCTTTTTCCTAGTGAGTTTTTGAAGTTTTTTGCTGTTATTTCTGGTAAATGAATCGTGAACTCTTCTCTCTCTTTTTTGTTAGCATTTTGTTACATACCTGCTGAAAGTTTGTTAGAGGGTTAGGAGGTTATCAGTTTGCTTTTCTGTTAGCATTCTGTTACATACCTGCTGGAAGTTTGTTAGAGGGTTATGAGGTTATCAGTTTGTTGGTTAGAAGAGTTAGTTAGTTTTTTCTGTTTTAGGTAGTTAGGAGCAGTTCTGCTATGGTTTTGTTGGTTTTTTCTGTTATCTATTCTCTAATGCTGGACTGGGTTGCAGGGCTGAACTGGTTTCTTTTTGTATTTGTTGTGGACTGTTTTGTGCATTGATATTAGTTGGATATGAACTGGATGGATAGGTGCAAGTCACAATTTTTTGAGTTAATTTTTTGAAGTTTGCAAATTTGGCGTCAGTTTTGTTATGCAAGTCTCATGAAGAATTGACGAAATTTTTAAGGAGGAAAGCAAGGCAATCATGAAGAAGCTTTGAAGATGAAGAAACAAGTTAGCGTAGGTTTTAGTTTTAGGGAGAAACTTATATAACTCTTTCTATGTATTTGTAATGTAGCATGAATTTACTGGATATGAATTGAATATGGTCATGTAGTGTAAGTTGTAAAGGAGTCTTGTAATGAATGTGCATGGTGACTTGCCCTTGTAATGCCCTTTGCAAATTTTGTAGTGAGCTTTGAGATCAATGAAAGAACTTCACCTTTTCTCCATGACTTCTTCCAAAATGTATTTTTTTCGTTTTTTTAGTTTGTACTTTGAATGAATCATCATGGTTTTTCCTTATGTTTTGAATTTTGAACTCCAAGCAATCCACGTGCTTGAATTTTCTTTACTTGCACTATTGAATTAATCAACCATGCCTAGATGCCTTGACTTTCTTTTTTTTAGAAACTTGTGATGTTTTTGGTACCTTTTGTAAAGGGAATGCACTCTTGTGCACTCTTGAATCAATTCTGCATAAACCAAAACCTCGAATCATGCTAATGGATCACATGGCAACATTGAATTCATAGTCCACTTAAATGAACATCTCATTGCAATGAATCCAAATCGACTTTAATTCTTAACGAACAAAACCTAAATCAACTTTCCTTCTTATTAAAATCCCTAACCTCGATCTCAAATCCATATTAAATTGTTCTACAAGCAATAAGCAATTGAGAGAACAACAATGCTTTGATCACAAATCTCACTTCTTCATATTTTGTACCATAGCCCATATCTTTCGATCCTCAAAGATATCTTGACTTGGTGAGCACATAATAGGAATGCATTGAGGAATCTTTTGATGAAGAAAGATTTGAAGTGTAAAAAGAAGCATGATCACCAAAATATTCTTGACATGAACCCTAAGTAAATACACCTCAGCTGATGAATTAACACAATCCAAGCACGACGTAGAAGAAACCCTGATTATTGCTTTGGATGCACATTGATAATGAAGGTAGCTTGAGGTGACAGAGGAAATCATGACCCTAGCTCACAAAGATCCTCAGTTGAACTCTTGATGAAGCATAGCAAGTTAAAACCCTAACATCCTGCCCTGATTGTTGAAGAAACACCTTGAATCTCTTGAATGAAGATAAGAGCCTCAAAGTTGTAAAGAAACCCTAAGTCTTTAGTACCCTTGATCCCATGCTAAGCCTTGTGGTTAATGAATGCATGATGTGTTAATTGACCTAATGGAGGGTATGCAGATGAGATGAGAACGAAATGCATAAGTCAGATGATTTGATGAAAGGGTAGGAAAAATTTGGGGTATTACACCTACCACCCACAATGCAGTGGGCAAGCTGAAATCTCTAATAGGGAGATAAAGAGGATTTTGGAAAAAGTTGTTAACCCTCTAGAAAAGACTGGTCTTAGCATTTAGATGATGCTTTGTGGACATATAAAACAACTTTTATGACCCTCTTAGGTATGTGTGATACGGTGGGAAGAACTGACTATTTTTGGAAATGCTGGTTTGCGTTTTGCGTTTGTGTTTGCAAAATGTCGCGGTAAGCAAGAGTCGCCATCAAATTTTATTTTATCCAACAAGGAAAGGAAAAAAGCACAGAAAAATTCCTTTTTTGAGATATTTCTGAGTACGGGGGGTAGATTATAGAAAGGGAAGGTATTAGAACCCTTTCTATCCGTAGTTATCTACGGGCTCTTAGGTACTTGCTCATCATTTTCAAAATTGTTTTCTTTTGTGCTTGTGGGTTTTGAAAAGTTTTTGTTTTAACTTCGATTTAACTCTTGCTTCTGTCTTCAAGAGTGTAATGAAGTGTTTTTGAAAACTTTGTTTGAAGAGGAGTGTAAGTGTGAGAAAAAGTTTATTTTGGATGAGCAAGTATCTAAGAACTAATCTACATACTCGAAAAAGGAATCGTTCTATGCTAATTTCCTTTAGACAATGCTATCCCACTCTTAGTGAGTAGGTAGCACCGTCGTTGGAGTTTGAGGGTCAATTCGAAAGGGACGTACGGTCACTAAAGCAATGTTAGGACGTCTTAGCGGTAACCCTAATGTCTTAGATCATTTGTTCGAGGCAACAATATCCGAGGCGATCATTTCTAGGCAACTATGATCTTTTGGACAAGAGGGCGACCTCTAAAACAACCTATACTCAATGACCGTTTACGAAGGCAACCAAGTGGGAGTGTACCCTAGGAGTGCGCATGTGCGGGTGTGTTGATTTCAGTTATTTTTATCTTTGCACATGTTTAGGTTGATCTAACTGATTTTAGATTAAACATTCATTCTTGTCATGCAAGCCCTATTACCAAACATCTAACAGATGAATATTTGCAAAAATTTAAAGGTGAGGAATTTAAACTAAATTATTACAAGGCGTCGGGTATTTACATCGCCAAAAGCAACCCTTTGAAATTTAAAAGCGGAAAAATAAATGTCCTAATTATTTATTACAAACCGGGAACAAATACAATAATTTGGATAAAGAAAAATAAAGTGCGCGAGACAATTGAATCGAAGGCGAAACTGGGGTTTTGACCCCTTGAATTAAAGAAAATGTTTTTTGTTGTTTTTATTTTTAAGAAAAAAAATTAAATCCTAAAATTAAATGCTAAATTAATTATTAAATAAATTAATTAATGAAAAAATATTAAATGACATATTTTTGGAGTTTTTGTTATTTTTAGGAAAGAAAATAAAATAATTAAATTAGTATTAAAACCTAATTATTCTAATTGATTTTTAATTATTTGCAAAATAAATTAAAGTTACCTAATTAATCTACCTAATTAAATTAATTAATATTTATTAATGAAAAATAAAGTTCTGAAATTTAATTGGGTTAAAAATATTTTTGTGATTTTTGATAAAAAAGAAAAATTAATTTTGATTAGTAATTAAATAAATAAATAATTAAATGACAATAAACAAAATATAAAAAAAGTAGAGAATGGGCCTGATTTTCAAGGGTGTGAATAGTAGTTTTTCTGGGCCCAATTGTGGAGTCCATGTTGACTTTTGCAATCCCATGCGCTGACGTTGACTTGGTCCTTTGGTGCACCTTCAATGAAGGCCACCAGATCTGGCCATCTGGCACGCTGATGATGAATGTCCATGGTGGATAGTAGGCTTGAGTGCGCACTAGATTTCCTGCAAGAAAATATTATGGAGAAAATAGGGGGACCTGGGATTCCAACCCAGGTCCTGAGGCACAATCCATACACTCCCTTGCCACTACGCCACTTGTTTTCATTTGTTAATATAATACAAATAAATGATAATATAAGAAAACAAATGTTATTGGATAATTATCAGAAAAACGCGCCAATATTTGAACAAGCCAGTAAGGGGATGACACTTCATCATCTCCTTCCTCTACACCGTGGCTAAAAGTCACAAAGGTCTATACCCACGGACGCTGTCCGTAGCTATACCTCTGTCCACCCTCAAAATCTCGTACAGGCCATGGAAATGATATCTAAGACCATGGTTGAGGTCGTCTCATCCTCCTGATTGCAACCATACCCATTACTAGGGCCAATTATTCCTGAAAACAAAAACCCTAAAAAACTCCAAGAAACCCTAACAATGGTGATTCACGATATAAGTCATATAAATGAAACTGGCTATTGGCAAAAGCTTGCAAATGATATGGTGATCAAGAATATGCCATTATTTTACACAATGGATGCAAGAATGAAGCTAATCGAATTCAAGAAAAGGATGATACCGTGACGGCCTTACAGTGCACTGGAGGGCTTGAAAATAATTGGTCTCGATTGCTTTAGGTTGTGGAGATTTCCAGGAGACGATTGAGACAAGTAACAGGCCTTGAGGATGCCTCTAACCTCTGTTTCAATCTCCCACTTTCTTTGATATTTTTCAGATTTTGCTTTCCCTCTATGCCTGATCTCCAACCTTGATTTTGATCTGCACGCAACCCTTATGTACCACACAATGCATTAGGGTTGATTATTCAGTCCAAATCTCTCTCTTTCAATGCTTTGGATTGGATTTGATTTGCTTCTTTAAAGCTTTTCAAAATTGGTTCCTTTGCAATCTTTTTGTACACAATTGCCTTGATACGAGTTTGATTAGTCCTAGCTGTGTAATAAGACCTGCAATGATCACAAGATCTTTGGTTTTTAATATTTTTGATTTTATTTGATTTGTTTTGATTTAATTCAAATTAATTCAAATAAAAATCAAAATAATTAGTAAAAATATGATATGGACACATGGCTAAGGCTAGAGCACGTGGGCTATAATGCCAACTCAAAACAAGTGAAAAAGAATGGGTCCATTTGGCAAAATCTGAAGTTTTGGGGATAGTTGACTTTTGGCAAT